CACTGTGAAGGTTTTAAAAAGTCACCTTCACAGCATTTTGCTGTGAAGTTTCAAGTGTAAAATGCTGGTCTCATGGGTCTCACGAAAACAGGCTGGTCTCACATGATCTCAAGTCTATATATATATATATATATATATATATATATATATAAATGTTCCTTATATAATTACTTCGTATTTCTAAGATAAACTAGAAGCGTACCGGCGCAATGCAACAATACATCTCTTTTTTAATATTTCATTTTATTATTTGTCTTTATCCATTTTGTAATACGTTTTTGTATGATTTTGAGAAAACAATAATGTTTTTATATTTTAATAAAAATATAAATTTGAAGACACTATAAGGATAAAGAATATACTGATATTAGTATCAAATTAACAATTTAAAAGTTTTTATTTTTTGAATAATTTTTTTAGTTCAATTTTTTTATTATAATTTAGTTTTGGTTTAATAATGAAGTACTTTGTTTTATATTTAACAATATAATTTTTTTATAAAGACAATTTTTAGTTCAACTTTTTTTTTATAATTTAATTTATCTTAGATTTAATAATATAGATTTTTTTTTATAAAAATAATAATTAAACATTCTCATAAAACTCAATGATTATCCTAATTATTTTAGATTATTTATATTTAAAATGTAATATTTATCTTGTATTTGATTTTGTTTATCAGTTATTATATGAATTCAAATATATAGCTTAAAAAGCTATATTCATACACCATTACCTCTAATTTTGAAGTTTAAGTAATATGTATAATTAAAACGTATTTGATTCATTAAAAATGGTTTTTAAAAATTTAACTCAAAATTTTTAGAATATAATATAGATTATATTATTATTTAAAGGTTAAGTTTATTTCTTTTCTAATTATTTATTTATTGATTGATTCCAAAATATCAAGTTGTACCATTTGTCTTTATTTAATTCTTATAGACCCCTTGAAACCTGTTTTCCCCGTTCTTTATCTTTCTTATATTTTTCATAAATAACATAACTGAAAATATAGGACCAGATTCAGATTCAGATTTGCCCAGGGACTCCAAAATGTCATTAACGACTCTTTTAATTGGTACCAACTTTTTTGGTTGGTACATATTGATATTGGTTTTGTATCAATTTCAAGTTACATATGTGAAAACTTGTCATTATGTTTAATCTTAAATGACGTTTTGAGTTTTCAAGTAACACATGTGATGTTTAAGGGTCTTTAATTGCAAAAAATAAATCTGCAAACGTTCAAACAAAATAGTTAGAGTTACAAAGACTGATAAATAATTAAATAAGACGCTACTATGGTACTACCATGGTACACAATTTCTAATACCGTCTATCAACCAAGTTTGCATATATACTTGGTAGGTACTTACCAACCAGTTGTAATTGGTACCAAATATTTAAGTTGGTAAATTTAATTGGTACACATGCGGGTTAATTTAATTTGTTACAAATTTACCACCCTAACATAATTAAATACGAACTTAAGGTGAACACATTATGACCACTTTCTTAGAAATACTATTGTAGTTTGTAAACATATTGCAAAAACATACTCTAAATCTACGAGATTTAGTATATAACTTGTAAATATATTGTGAATACAAACTAAAACAATTAAACTATGTCTGAAAATATCACTTGTGAACACCCTAATAAAAATATTATTAAGATTGTTTACATTATGTACATAATGTGCTGTGCATGTTAAAATACGTATATTAGTATATACGGACAGGAGGAGAGAGAGAAGGAGACAAGTGTGAGGAAAAATGTGACATGAAAACGTCATAAAACCAAATGTGATATGATGCAAAGTGCACAAAACTTTATATTACTAAAATTTTGAGTACAAGAAAAGCATATAGTAAAACAAATGAAGTGCTTCACTACATTAACTCTCATTGTGTCTTTGCCTTCTTTTATAAGGTATCTGATTTTGTTGGCTTTTATATTATTCATATCCCCCCTCATATCCTACATTTTACATACACACTAAAACTAACCTGAGATAATTGGTCTCTCAACTATGGCACTTTCAATATATATATGTACACACATATATATATATATATATATATATATATTGCTGGTGTAATTAATTGTCATTAAGCCATTTAATTACACCTTCTTGGCCGGATCGATCGAGTTTTCATTCTCTATTTCTCGATGTTTCGAATCTTGAATCTGATTCATATCTCCCATCTTAAGAAGACTGCATTACAGAACAAGCAACTGCTTGAGCCCAATGCCTCAACTTTGTCTTAACTTGTTGGGGATCTTCTCCTGCAAGCAACATTTCATTCCAAGGGAAATGAGCCTTATTTCATCAACAACCTATCACTACAATGAAATCGTCTTTGTAGGACTAGGGCTGTAAACGAACCGAACGAACACGAACATAGGCTTGTTCATGTTCGTTCGTTTAACTTAACCAAACAAACGAACGCACACGAATGGTAAACAAACGAAAATCTTTGGTGTTCGTGTTCGTTCGTTTAGAAATTAGGCTTGTTCATGTTCGCTTAGAAATTAGGACAGGAGTTTGATAGTTTTACAAGAGGAGACAAACCTGCACTATAAATCTTAGGTGATGAATCCTCACTGCAAACTGATGATGGGCTTCCTTCTAATGATCTTGATGATAATGACCTAATAGGCGAAAATCTTGATCCCGACGAACTCGAACTACTCGGGCTTGTCGGGCTTCCAAGTCTGTTCACCGCGAAATATAGGTCGAGTGCTGGGAAGGTGTTTGTTAGACTTTGACCACCTTTATCTTCGTTAAAACCGAAACCGAGCTCGATGCAACCTTTGAGTTCTTTAAGATCCTCATCACATAATTCACTGGAAGCTATAATCGCGGCTTCCCTCCTTCTTTCTTGCATCAGCATCTGGTGTCGTTTCTTTTCCCACGCCAAGTCCCGTTGGGTTTCCAACATCGATAGTTGCTTCGAAAGGATCTTTTTCGGAGTACTCCAAAACATGGGTGTGTCTTCTAGGCTTTGTTCGAGCTCCTCAATTTCCGATTCATAAGGAGACGATGTTGCAGAAGAAGTCATGGTTTCCAGCTCCATTACTATATCTATACAAATATATATATATACAATATGGAAGATGGATGGATTAAGAGATATAAATGTTTTTGAAGATCAATACAAAGAGGTGGTATGTATGGTGGTGTTGGGGCGGCCGGAATGGATGTGCAGTGATCGGTCGCCGCAACCGAGGGTGAAGAATTTCTGGGGGGATGAAATTAAGATAATGAATGGGATCAAGGGTGGAAGTATTGTGAATGGGGTCTTTTTAGACCTTTAGTTTGTGGTTAACCAACGGGAGAGAGAATTAAAAGGAGAAATTAGTCAGAATTAGAGGACAATAGTTTCTTCAGGTTGAGGTCAAGAGAACATATAGGAGATGCAATTTCAATTTTTTTTTAAAATTAACCTGAATATCTAACCCACTATGCGAGCCGATTAATCTCAAGACGACCACTTGAACCTCCGTGGACACAAAGGAATTTTTATTCCTCCTTGGATTTGAACTTGAACCTGAACCTCCCGACACTTTTGATCTTCTTGAAAGTTCAATTTTGTTTTCATGTTACATGACATGGACATAGAGGCACCATTCTCTTATTACAAACCTATAATCGCTACAAACTAGTTTTTTTTATATGTGAAATAAGTATAGAAATGTCGTGTTATATAGAATGTTGTTTCATATGTGAAATGCTGAAGACTCATCTTCTTTATATACAAAACCGTTATGAACGTTTCAAATGTGAAACAACACTATCATGAATACGGGTTTGTAAATGATTATATATTTATATGGACGTATAGGTTACGTGTTCTCGTTTTGTTTGCATAAGATATGCGTGTTGCATCACGATGATACTAATAACTCGATAACGGGTGTGCTAATTTCAATCGTTATTTTAAAAACTTGCAAATTAGTGGCTCATGAAATCTTGGTTGATATAATATGAATAAATGATATGTTTCTTGCCGGAAATAAATAATATAAATGACCAAAGGACCTTTGGTCTAGCGGTATCATAGCCCTTGGCCTTCTAGGAGGTTAGAGGTTCAAACCTTACCATAAGTGAGGAGGGTGTGTGAGTTTATTTGTTGAATTTGTCGTATATAAATATTATATACTTCAAAAAAAAAAAAAATCAAACATATAATGAACGACACGAAGGAAATTAATACATGTATTTAAACAATAAGTTTTCTTGTAACAACTCGTTACTTATTATCTAAAATTTGATTTTAAACATTATCATGATTAGCTTACTCATTAAGCTAATTATTACAATTTCGTCAAAATAAACAAGAAGGTTACTCATGGTCGTGGATGTAACTAATATTATGGTTCAAGACCGAAAATGAAAATTGATGAGAAAACGAGGAATTTAACTGTTGAATTCGTCCTTACAATCCGGTGGGTATGCATTCCAGTTATTTGAAACCGTAATGATTGACCATGACCTTTAGGTGACGTTTGTTTTTTAAGAGGTGCTGAAGTCTGAATTATTATTACACTTCAGACTCATAAGAGGTGGTGTTGAAGTCTGAAATATAAATCAATATGATTGTTTGTTTTTGTAAACTGATAAATGTGTAAATTTGTTTAAACTGTCTATTCTACCCATTAGAAAATTAAAGTGTTGAATTTATAGATAAATTATACAATTACACATTTATTCAATATGATTACGAAATCTACATCTAAATTATATAGTTAACATTCATTTAAATGAAAATATGCCACTAACGATATATAAAACATTTAATTCATATTAAAATACATCAACTAAGAGATGTGAGAATCGATTTAGTAAGGATCGACTGAGAGAAATGATCGATTAAGGTTAATCGATTGAGAAACACCGTTACTGATGGTCTGGAGAATAACAAGAGGCAAATAAGAGGTTGATTTACCTCTTACCAGATAAGAGGATAATAAAACAATAGTGCCTCTGAAAAATTGGAAAAAACAAACAGTCTGAATGATCATATCTCTTAATGAATTAAATATAAGAGGTTGATAAGAGGTTTTTTCTGAAAAAATAAACAAGGCCTTAATTCCGTTTAAGAGATTTGATCATTGGTTTTTGTATACTTTGAAGTTTGTGTTGGGTCACTTATTGATTTGGTGATGACCCACTGATCTGTTCCTCTACCTTAGCAATACTTAGTAGTTATTGGTTCTTTGATATTGGTATCTTGGTACATATTTAAGCCATTGGCAAAATCGAAGACTAGCCGATATGAAGACAGAAGATCACCGATGCGGTGTTGTGGATCAACTGTCTAATATACACACCAAGACTCTAAAGTAGCTGAAATGAAGATTGAAAATATTTTAAAGCTACAAGCCGATTGAAGGAAGATCTTCATGGACCAAAGATTGAAAATCTTCATGGACTCAAGATTGAACATCTTCATGGACCGAAGATTTGTGAGTAGCTGCTTGAATCTACATATCCATCCAAAGAAGATCTTCCTACAGACTGACCATATCTCTGCTAAAGTTTGTCTCTGCATGAACAGTGTTGTATGCACGCTGTGTACTTTGAAAATGAGATATCAACAATGGTCAAGTTAACCCCTGCCTTCTTATCCTCAGGTGACAAGTGTCCCCATGCATTAAATGCTGAAGGTAGTATAAAAGGCAGTGTGCTTCTCCCACGCACATCACTGGCTTTTGAAAGATTACTTAGTGCATTCTCAAGGCAATCGGTTATTCTCTTCTACTCCCTTGCTCTCTTGTGTGAAGAAATTATTAGTGTTCTTCATTTCCTTTCAAGAACTCTTTGTGTTGTTCTTGTAAGATTGTTTAGGTTAGGTTTTCCTTTCCTATCTTCTGCAACAATCTTTTGTATTTCTGTGTGTGTTAATTCTTGATATGCATCAATAAGAATTAAAAAGTTGAAAAAAGTCTGTGTAATTGTATTCAACCGCCCCTTCTACAATTACTTTCTGTTTATTGTCATCCCCTTCGGAACTAACAGTTTGCATTCTTTTAATAAAGTTTCTTTTAGATCAATTGCATTGTGGTTATAGTTTATGGAGTTCAAAATTGAATATGGTTGGATAAAGGTTATGTCACTTTATGGACTTTTTGGTTGTTACGTGTGGAGATTTATCGTTCATGTTACAAAATTGGTTCCTCTTAAAAAAGGACTCAATCTAGTATGTAATCTGTGATACAATAAGGTTAAGAAATCATGATATAATTCGTTCTGACTAGTAGAAGCCGTATGAGAATATAACTTCAATTGAAGCTAGAATAATATTAATAGCTTTAGAATATTTGTTGTTTATGACAACTTTGTCTTCTTAAAAATTTTCTTTTTATTGTAGAGAATTCAAGATTACATACTTAACTACTCAAGTTGGATGAATTTTCGAATCATGTAGTGCTTCACTAAGCATTAGCTAGGTTAGAATTGTAATTTTTTCATCCTACTTCTGAAATTGATGGTATTGTTTTTTTTAAGAGTACATTAGATGTTTCATCCCTACTTTTAGTGTTGGGATTTTAATAAGGGAATTAATCCCCGATAGAAAGGAAAGGGAAAACTTAGTAAGCTTAATAAGGCTTGTCTTGTCCTATAAGGCTTATCAAGTTGCACAAAAACCCATATAAGGGATTTGGATTGGGCTAGTGAGGGAAGCTTGACAAATATATAAAAGTCAAAAGATTGGGCTTTGGTTGTCCTTGGGGTCTAACTAGAACAAGAGAGAGTTCCGCGACCTCTCACACGGGTTATGTCGAGCTCTTACCCGCATAACTCTCTGTATGTTCGACAGTGCTTCTTGCAGCCTTAGTCGCAAGGAAACCCGCGTAACTTTCTGAAGTTTGAGACAGTAACTTGAACGACTAGAGCCGCGACATAAAGTCGTGAGCCTAGATGCGGGGGATAGTTGTATCCTTAAAACTGATGCTCGATACTACTGCACGAACACTACCAAAATAACACTCTTTTCCGGCGGACAAATCTGCCGGAAATCCGCCGAAAAACCCAATTTCCGGCGGATTTCCGACGGATTTGTCCGCCGGAAAAGAGGGCGCCGCTGATTTTTTCTCCGTCGAGTTTTCCGGCGGATTTTTCACGTTTCCGGCGGAATACGGCCGCCGGAAATCTTTCGCCGGAAAAATTAAGTAACTCGGTTTACCTTAATTAAAAAAATTTAAAAAAGATTTCCGGCGGATTTTTCCGCCGGAAATCCG